TAATTAACACAAAATTAAAGTCAGTAAAAAACATCAGAATACAATTTGATGAGTTTCTGCAATGTCTACGGGTGATTAACACAACCAAAATAATGATATAAAATATTTCTGTCACTCCTTGTGCCTACCTGCAATCACTCATCCTCCTTTATCCCTCTCCTTGGCCACTGTCAATCACTGATCTAGTTCTTATGGCAACAGTTTCGCCTTTCTAGAGTTTGATATATATATCATACAGTAGTTCCTTTGCTTTCTTCATTTAGTTTTTGAGATTCAGGCAAGTTATTCATTTTGTTTCTAAATAGCATTCGTAAGCATGTTTATACCAGAATTAGTCATCCATATACCAGATGATAGCCATATAGGCTTTTTTGTATTTGGGCTGTTAAGAATAAGCTATGTCCATTTAAGCACAAGTCTCTTTGTAGACATTTGTTTTCATTCCTCTTGTGTAAATGCCCTAAAGTACCAGTGGTCTTATGGTAACATCAGAAACTGACACATGCTTCTGAGTAGCTGTGCTGGCTTGGACACCCTTTACAATGTATTATAATTCTAGCTGGTCCACATCCTTGCCAACATTTGGTATTGTAGGTTGTAATTTTTCTTTTTTTACAGATCTGGTGGGTGTCTTTGTATCTCATTGGGTTTTAATTTGTATTTCCCGATGATTAATGAAGCTGAATATCTTTTCATGTGCTATTTGGTTATTCATATATTTTCCTGTATCTGAAGTTTGTCAAATCTTTAGTCTGTATTTTAAAACCAGAGTTCTTTTGAGCTGAGATTTATATAATCTAGATAACAAGGCCGTTATCAGATATTTTGCCGATGTTTTTTGTCACCTTAGCTTGCTCTTATTTCTTAACAGTACTTTAAAGAACTTAAAGAACAGGGGTTTTTATAAGGGGTTTTTCAATAAATCATTGGCTTCTCTTCTATATTTTATAATTTTCTGGGTAAAATTTTGTAAACTTCTTTCTACATTTCTAAAGGTCACTAAAATTTCCTATGTTTTTTTGAAAAAAGTTTTTGTGGTTCATTTTTGTCTAGTTATGTCCACACCTTTATTTGCTGTAAAGATTATTATTATTTGACTGCATTTGTACCTTTATCAAAAGCTAAGTGACCATCTACGTACAGTTCTAGATGTGGGCTCTATTCTGTTTAATAAGTCTGTATGTCTATAACATACTTTTATTTTTTAAAGATTATTTATTTATACAAGCACTGGGTACAGTCAGAAGCATGGGAGGGTGAGAGAATTCACCAGAGCCAGAATGGGGAACAGAACAGGCAGAAGGACCAAAGTACACTGCTGAGGGGAGCAGCGGGCGTGGCAGGAGAGGTCTGTGCGCCATGCGGGACACTCGCCCATGGCCGGGGATCGAACCAGCGCTGCCGAGGCTGCCAGCAGCTTCGCAGCCCAGCGCTCAACTGCTGCACCACCAGAGGAGGCCCTTTAACATACACATACTTTCTTGATTATGAAGCTTTGAGGAGTCATAAGGATAGTCCTCAAACAGGTTTTTACTTTCAAAATTATTTTGATTATTATACATTCTTTTTAAAAGATTTGATTGTGGTAACCTTGGCTTACATTGTTGTTGGTATTTTGTTCAAAATACCAGTGCCCATTTGTTCAAAAGCTAGGCTTGGAATTTTGGTTAAGATAGTCTTAAATCCTTTTTTTTTTTTTTTTTTTAATATTTAGAAAATCCTTATCTGTCTTTTTTTTTTTTTTAGAATAATTTTTTAAAAAGATTTATTTTTATATTTATTTATACAAGCACTGGGTACAGTCAGAAGCACGGGAGGGTGAGAGAATTCACCAGAGCCAGAGCAGGGAACAGAACAGGCAGACTGACGAAACACACTGCTGAGGGGAGCAGCGGGCGGCAGGGAAGGTCTGCACGCCATGTGGGACCCTCGCCATCGGCCGGGGGTTGAACCAGCGCTGCAGAGGCTGCAGGCAGCTTCGCAACCCAGCGCTCAACCGCTGCGCCACCGGGGAGGCCCAAGATAGCCTTAAGTCTTAAGAATAGTCTGTGCGAGGATTTACTTTTTCATAATATTGAGTCTTTTGGTCCATTAAAACAGTATCTTTTTCCTTTATTTTTCTATTTGTTACTTATTATTTTACTCACATAGGAAAACCTTTCTCTATGCAGCCAAGTATGAGCACTTAAGGAAAACTAAGAAACATTTTATGAGAATCACATACTTTTGAAAGTAAATGGAAATAAAGCTATCTTTCTGATGAGGTTTTTCTAACCTAGCATTTCTGTGTGTTAAGTAATCATAATATTTAAAAAAAACTTAAATTTTGTGTTTCAAAGTATATGATTTATATTAAAAAAGGGAGACTCTTCAGTCCTTCAGCATTTTACAATTATTATAGTCTAGTGGTTAAGACCAACCAGTTTCTATCTTGTTTTAATTCTTTTTGGCTCTGTTGACATTGTGCAAGGTTCACTGACTTGAATTTCCTTATCTGAGATATGGATAATTCAGATTACATCTTCTAAAGTGGTTGTGAGGATTTAATGAGTTAACATAAATAAAGCATTAGGAATATTCATGGAAGTAGTGCTCTATGTTTTCTAATAATCCATGTACTGAGAAGATACAAGACAAAATAATTAAGTTAGATGTTGGCTAACAGCTATTTTTAAAGAAGACCTGCCACAGGATACCATATCATCAGTAAAAGTCAGTATATATCCTATTGTGGGGTCGGCAACAGCACACTGATAAACAGGAGTCATGGAGCAAGCTGCACATGCAGGATGCTGCTGAACAAGCAAGATGCTGGCCTTTTCATTGACAGAATAATCACACAGCATCAGTTATGTGGGGTAAGAGGACAAGGAGAAAAAGATGGGTGAAACTAAAGAATGTGTTTTTGTCATCTAGGCCATCGGGGGGATATGAATCTGCTGATCAGATAATTTTTATACGCTTGACGACCAAGCATTGTAATCGAAACCATACCCCAGACCCCCAGTCATAAAGGCATTTTATTGATCAGCTTCTGGGGTCTCTTGTCATACACTGGTCATTGGCCCCCTGGGCGTTCCCGGTCATGTATTGTGATGCATAGCCTTCCCAAGGTAATCAAGCTTTCTGCTCTGGGTTGACTTGAAAGGCACCTTGTAAGGTTTGGCTCTTATGACTGACTGACCGGGCAGTTCTGACCTTGTATAGGAATACAGAACTTCAGGTAACAAGCAATGGTGGCCGAACAGGCCGCTTAAGTCTAGCAGACCCATGTCCTATCAAGGATATTATGAAAGAAATCTTGGTACAATAAGAATATCTGAAATAAAATTCCTGATTTGTTACATATAGCAAATAAACAATATATTTTTCTTCTTCTAATACACCTCATAAAGTATAAAAGACTAGGAAAAGCTCAATAAGCTGCTTGACTACAAAATCTATTCCAAATGGAAAATGGCAGTCAAATTAGTCAAACTGCTTGGGCAAAATGCAGTGTGTTCTCCTGTACCCACAAATCATAAAAGGCTTCTAGAATTTAGAATGGAACTTTTCCTTTTAAAATGTATTTTAAATTGCCTATGGGTTCTTATGATTGAGTTTCCCAAAGGGACCTAACAGAGCTTATCTCTTAGTGTTACCTCAACCTTAACAGTTGTTTTAAAGCCCCTTTTAAAGGGCTTTTTATTTCCAAGTATACTAGCTGATTTTAGGATGATTTTTTCCTCAATGACTTGATGGTGAAAAAAGAAAGAAGATGAGAAACTAGGTACAAGAATGTTTTGATGTTATACACCACTGGTTCCCAAACAGGTATGAGGGCTGGTCAGTGGCCTGGAAGAATCTGGCTAGAGATCTGCCTGGGGCAGTGTAGTCTGTGCCGCTTCATTTCTCTCCTGACTTCATGGGAATAGCAGTGAGAACAGCACTGAGAAATTCTTATCCAGGCTTTGCTTTTCAGAGGGAGGGAAACTGTGACACTAAAGGAGAGAGTGACAGATGAGAAGTCACAGGGCACTGAAGAAAAAAATCGTGAAGATGATTAGAAAATCGAGAAACCTCTGAAGGTTACTTAGAGGTGATTTAGCCTAACCCTCTCCACAGCACAGGATTCTCCTCTACATCTCTGTGAGATGGGCCCGCAGCCTCTGCCTAATCACTCCAACAACTGGGGTCTTACTTCCTTGAGGCCCCTGATCCAAGCCAGAAATCTGGGATATACAGTAAATTCTTATATGGGTGAAACCTAATTAATCATTAAGTCTCAGGTATTTTACCACTGAAATCTCTCTAAAATCTATCCACTGTTTCCCTGTCCACTATCTTAGTTGAGGCCTCTCTCATCCCCTCATGTGGTCCTGCAACCAGATTTCTTGCTACCAAATACTTTGCCTCTAACCCATCCTCACACAGAAACCTAGACTGCATGTTCTAAAACAAAATGAATCACATTACTCCTCTGCTTAAAACCCTTTGATGGTTCACTATCAAAACCAGAAAAATGTCTGAAGTTTTAGCCTGAAGAGCATCCTCTTATCTAACCAGCTCACATTTCAGCAGCATGAAATAGATATGGTGTCCTCATTCACCAAGTTGTTTTACTGTTCCATGCTGTTGTTCAGGAATTATCTCTAGGAAGGCATTGTTCTCCCATGTATTTTATATATATATATATATATATATATATATATATATATACACACACACACACACACACACACTCACACACGTGTATATATATATACACACACACACACACACATATATGTCCCTCAAGGGCAGGAACCATGTCAGACCTTCAGCACGTGGCAGAGGATTCATGACAGCTGGTATTTACTACATGCTTAATAAACACTAGCACTTTTTCTGATGTATGTTAAAATTATTTACTCCGTTTAACTTTTGCTCCGTGAAACAATAAAAATCATCTTTTCAGGGAAAAGACAGCTAGAGCGTCAAAAGGCCAAGTTTAAATACTACCATATGACATTTGCACTTACCTAAATTGCTATATGTTGCACTGCAGGAATTCAGGTCTGTGGGATCTGAAATGTCTTCTTTTTCCTCTTCCCTTTCCAGTTCAGGTAGGGACACTGGTGGTGTGATTGAAGTGCAGCCCCCAGCATCTTGTTTTGTGACAACAGTTCTTGGATCCCGAGGAGAAAAATCCTCTGTCAATTCATTGGTCACGTGACTGAAACAAATTAGACCACTGTCATTCAAAGATTTTATTAAATTTAGATTTATGGAAGGAAAAAGAAAAATATCAGATGGTTTCACTTATAAGACATCAGTGTAAAAAAAATAACAACAGCACAAAACACAACAACGCAAAAACAGGCAATTGTAAACCAGAGACATCCTGCAGGGGAGGAGGCGGGAGAGGGATCAGAGGGAGGGAGGGAGGAGCACAGGGGACTGAGGTGATGGTGCACCGGTGCCTTGGGGAAGGAAACTCTATGGGGACCACACCTGAGGGGGTGGGGGGAAGCAAACATTGCTCGAAAATGAACAATGATGTAAAAAATTAAAAGAATATATATATAAAAAATAAGTTTAGATTTATGAAAGGCACATACTCACCATTAATGTAAATAACCTGCCCTACAGTCACAGCAATGGTTCATGAGTCCCAATATGTTTGTCTGAATAAAGGGGGTCCTTCATGCCAACTAATATTTCTATTTAAACTTGATTCAAATATATTGATAATCCAGTTTGGCAGAGGAGGTATGGTAAGGCTCGACAGAAAAGTTGTAAGGAGGGAGACTTTTCAGGTAGGAGTGGCAACGTGGTGACAGAAGGAGCTAATTGGTTAAAGACAAACATATTCAAGTATTTGATGATGTATTTAGCATATTTACTACACTATGGTATTATATTACTACAGTAAATACCAAATACTCTATAGTATTTTCCTTAAAAGATACATGGGATTAACTACTCACAGTCAAGTATTTCTAAAGGATCAGGAGTAAAGTTAAGATTAGACTATTTAAATAAGGAAATTAAGCAATTGTCTTAGTAGCTAAACTGAGGCAGGAAGGAATTGTTGCTGGGAGGAGGGAAGCATCAACCTTTGCTGTATGCACGCAGCTGGGAAGGCAAATGGGAGAGAATGTCCTGCATTCTAGTTAATCTTACCAAAATGAAAGTGAAGCTTCTTGTGGGCCACATATTAGAATATGATCACCCACAATGCTTTGTTTCACTGTGATATTTCTTCCCTTCATCCCCACACCCTACTTTTCCCGAACTGTCAATTCTGTTGCTATAAAATACAAGTAGATGGGATGGTCATTAAATGTTGGTAGAGAAAACTGGCCTAGTGAGAAAATCTTACTGGGCTGGTCAATGAAATAAACTGAAAATCAGTTCTCTTCAATAGTTTTCTGCATCTGCGGGAAGAGTTCCTAGACTGTCACACATTCACTAGCTCTTCTCCCCCCTACCCCACCTTTTTTATGGGCAAAGAGACAGGAGGAAAGCAAATATCTTAAATACTATTACTGTTATTTCTAGATATTCAGTAGGCAGTGAGTCAGGGTGACATTTACTAGTTCCTTTAAGAGAGGCACTTTGATCATGTGTCATGAGACATGTATCACCTGTGGATTTGAGGAAGAGGATCTGAAGGAGAGTCTTCTTATTAATCTTTCATTATGGAAATTATGTATGTGCCTGAACAAAAAAAAAATAAGCCTTGAAGTCTGCTGGATATACAACTTCAAAAATAATCTTTCAAAGCTGGCAGAGCCAGGGGTCTCTCTATACTTAGGAATGAGCAATGAGCTGGAGGTTCTGTTAGGGGACGCAGCTCTTGGGGATAGTGGCAAGGGGAGTTTATAGAAAAGAGGCCTAATGTAGTAAAGCATGCTGCTGCTTCTTAACTGGCTGCCTTAGGTCATCAACCCAAAAGAGAAACACCAAACAAAGCGGGTTTTTCATCACAAGGAGCCTCATCAAGTCAAGGTAGCAAGGGACTCGACTTTCATGCATTCACAGAGACAAAGTCAAATGCTGCTTTAGCAATTAATGGCAAGTTTGTACATCACTGAGTAGGTATCAACATACTCAGACAAGGGAAAATGATCTTTGCTGGGCAAAAGTTATAGACTCCACTTCTAATTTTAAAGCAATAAATATAAAGCGATTTAAAATAGCAGTTCCCCTCTAGAAGAAAAAAGTTAAACCTCTTTTTATTCTAGAGTCAACTTGAGTGGTTTCCTAAATAGCTGTTTTTAGGCTCCTAATACATACATTCTTATTTCTTTCTCTTTCTTCCTCCAATTTCCTCCTTTTTTTGGGGGGGGCATAGAACTGGGGTGTAGGCCAGAGGTTCAGGAGGTGAGAGGATTCACAAGAGACAGAGTGGGGAGCAGAACAGGCAGATTGACCGGAGTACACTGCTGAGGGGAGCAGCAGGCAAGACAGGGGAGCTCTGCTGCGGCCATGTGGGTAGCTCCCTGGGCAGGATCAAACTCAGCCCGCTGAGTGATAGCACCAAGACTTAACCCCCAGGCCACCAGGGAGGACCCTCCAATTCGCTCATTACTACTAAAAGAACTTTTCCAGCTTCTTTAAAAGGAGTGAGAAGGTTGATTCACAAGCCATGACTACCATTACTTGTCTGTTTTCCTCCCAGGGAACAGGTTATTACAATGAGTCTCAGTCATGAAGATCACAGAAAGAGTTGCTGCTAATAACCCGTGAGTTCCCACACAGCTCTGTGCTCTTAGGGGCTTCTCAAAACAAATTATTTATATCTAAAAAAGTAAGAAATACTACATACTCACCCACTGGACTCACTCATACAATTCCCCATTAAAGGAAATTCTACAGGGTCTTGTTTAGTCTGTTAATCACATTCTGAAAGCCCTGATGAGCCATAGATCCCATTGAGTTCTGGAGCATTACAAGTTAGGCAAGAAAGAAGAGGCTCGAATTCTGCACCTGAGTATCACCCACTGCACCTTGACCTTTACCTTAGGGGCTGGGTCTGGGAAATATGCCAACTTACCTTGGGGAGCTAAGCAAAGTGAAAACTAGTTTTATTAACTCTTTGAGAACCAGGCAGCAAACCTGTATTACACATAAAGATTGGTTTTTGTGAGCACATTTAAAATTTTAATGATCAATTAAAGTAATTGTCATTTATAAAGAACTATGAAGAGTTGATAAAAATAAAACCACATGGGTTTACAAATGGTTGCTAAGACGTGTAATCTGCACTTACCATGACAACAGTGTCTACAAAAAAGAATTTTAAAAAGGTATTAATGATATCCCATATCTTGATCCTTGAGGGAAAAATAGCTCTCCTAGAAAAGGAGAGGTTTTAAGAGTTCAAATGTAGATGTGGTAACATGCTTTGACTAAAAAATGAAAAAGAATTGAGAAGAGTAACAGAAGGTTGATTTAGTCACTAGACATAAACCACACAAACAAGATGTCTAGGGAGAAAATTAACTTTATGAGGGAATATAATTTTTTGGTTTTTAAGTTCTTTATTGAAATAACATTGTACTGTACTATAACATTATATATTGCAGGTGTCAGTGTCTGTATATACTACATTAAGTTACCACCAAAATCTAGGGAGGAGGAACAGGAACTCAGAGATTCAGCAACCGATCCAAGGCCCCTGGGCCAGGTTCTGAGAGAATATAATTTTTAATCACTGATAACCCTCCCAAACTGTAAAATGACACTTTCCAAATACAGGCTTTCTCTCCTAACAAAGTGGCTTACCATCAACATTTATTTCCCTGGGAAATATTTACGCAATGGAGGAAACATCAAAATGGAGGTCAGAGACCCCAAGCTCTATTATGCTAGTGCCTCGATCTTTTATACAACTAGACGACAGTCTCAGGAAGGAGATGATAGAGAAAATGAAATTTTCTTCATTTCATCCATGTGACAGAGGTAAAAATTGTTTAAACCAAAATTACAAAAAATTGGTTAGAATTTCTAATACACTACATCTTTGTACAAATGGTGAACTAGCAACTAGATTTTTTCAGTAAAATCTGACACTCATTCTGTAAAACAAAACTATAAACTGATAAGTGGCCAACTAAGAGACAGTTATGGTGTTTCGATTTTTGCTATTTAAATTCACGCAGTGTACAATGTCTGCAATAACCAGGGGGCTGACATCTAGGTCCTCAACGGTCTGAGCCCCATCTTTTCCTGAATTAACACTTGCTGTGCTTTCATAATGGAAGACAATACACACTAGACTGTACCTCAAAATTTTAACCAACTTTTCAATAACGACCAGTTTCTAATTGGAATTTGGGATACCTGATCTGACACTTAAAAATTCTGCCACAAAGATAGCTGGTTTTCTGAATGTGGAGAATGAATTTAGGTGTTCAAAGAAAACAGTGACATTGTTACAGATTTGTCTGTTATACAGAATAAGGTTCTATCTCATCATCTGCACCACTCATAAGTAATTCAAAGCCGCGGAAGCACTCTCCTATGGGAAGCTCGCTTGGCTTACCCAGGTGGTAGGATTAATCATTGCACCAGCAAATGAAATAATCCTTTTTCTTCTTGGCAAATTTGTTCAGGACGGATTTTTGTAAGAATTTTGTTAAATGTCTGAAAGTATTTTTTAAAAAGGTAAATCAAATTTCCCATTAGAATAAAGACCTTTATGTATCCAAGTATTTCCACAATTTCAGTACAACCGTTTTCAAATTCAACTAACTTCATTCAGCTTCAGAAGGGACAGTAAATGAAATCAGCCTTCTATGGAGATTATCTGCCTCTTGGGGCAAATGGTATTCTAAATTTCTTTTTTTTTTTTAGAACTGGGGCACAGGCCAGAGGTGCTGGGGGGTGAGCGGATTCACCAGAGACAGAGTGGGGAACAGAACAGGCAGACTGACTGAAATACACTGCTGAGGGGAGCAGTGGGCAAGTCAGGAGAGGTCTGCTGCGCCAGGGTCACCTCCCTATTCGGTGCTGGAACTCGTGCTACAGAGGCTGGGGACAGCTACACAATGCTGTGCTTAACCCCCTTACACCAACAGGGAGGCCCCGATATTCTGAATTTCTATTTGCAAACTTTCTTCAGCAGCCACATCTGTCCCTAGTTGCCCTAAAAATTCAGATCAAAGCACATCAGAAACAGCAAGTCATGGTTGTAACTGGTTTCCAGAACTGCTTATTTCTGGGGTT